TGGATATGTATATTTCAGCTGTGCTTGCTATTGAAAATATTTAGATTTATTAAGATATTTAGTGAAACAATAAAATGGGGGAGGCAGAGAAAGCAACAATAGATACCAGACACAATGTGGGAGGAGGATGGGAGATGGCAGAGGGTGAGATAGGGAATCAAGGATGGGAAAAAAGGCAAAATACACAGAAAACAAGAAATGAAAAATTATGTGTTGACAATAACACATATGTTGATGTGCTTGATTGAGCCAATATACAGTGTACTGTGAATGGAAAAATCTCATTTTGTATGCTATAATGATGTACAGTGGATGAATGTAAATAAATAAATAAAAATAAATAAATTTTTAAAAAAGACCCTGCTGGGCATATATAAACTATGTATATGCATATATATATAATACATACACATACATATGCATACACACGTACATATGCATACACACATGCACACGCACATGCACACGCATGCACACGCACACACACACACATAGTATAAGTAGAAGGGATAAGGAGAATTACATCAAGTTGAGAGCCTTCAGGAACTATGAAGAAGTAATAGAATTTTAGTCAAATCCAAGGCCACCTCTAAACCCAGCTCTACTTCTGGAGCACATGCAAGCCAATTATGATACTGAATTGGGGGAACAAAGCATTTATCTCCCTTCCCCCAAATGTGAGACTGAAAAAAAAAACCTAAATTACAGTACCTGTAGCCGCTGGGAAGAACACCCCAAAGACAGTGAAAAATGATTCCCCAGGGTTGTAATCTGGCAGGGTGTTGTTCCATAGCAGTTCTGGTGAATATCCAATGAAACCATGCTCTGAAATAGGAAGAAGAACAAGGTGAGAAGCCTGTAGCCAGACCTCCCCAGACTGCAGTACTGTTTTATGTAACTGCCAACAGTAAAAGGTGGGAGTGTGTGTGTTGGAGAGAGAGAGAGAAGTGGGGGAGAGGAGGTCGGACAGAACCTTCTTCCCTCCACTCTAGGGTTGATTTGCATGTTCGTATCGATAGATCTTGGTAGATGAGATGACATGAAGGAGAGCTGTGGTTTCCTCTGGAAAGGGAGCATGTCCATTTTTGCTTTATAGACCTCAGTGTGGCTAAAACATCTTTCAATGAGCTTGTATTTATATGTTTGCTTTTTAAAAGTTTATTTATTTATTCTTTTTGCAGGGGGAGGGGAGAGGGTGGTCATAGGATGCATGTGCTTGCCAGAGGGAGACAGAGAGAGGGAAAATGAGAAATTGCTCCCCGGGGGGGGGTGTGTGTGTGTGTGTGGGGGGGGGCTGGCCACACCACAATTCCTTCTTCTCCATTCTCTTCTCGGGATTTTGGGCATGTGTGCACATGTGCCCAGCATGATTTTCAAGCCACCAGGTTCTGGACTCAAACCGCGGTCAGCCATGTGGGATCCTTAACCCCACATCACCTGCTCACCCCCCTATTATTTCTTACATAAGTGAGAGAGGCAGAGAGATAAAGAGAGTGAGAGACAGAAAGTCAGCACTCTCAGCAGGCTCTTGACAATGCAGTCCACCCCCACCTGCCAGCTCTAGACCATGGGCACACTCAGGGAGGTCTTCATACATGAATTCTGGACCTTCCTGTGTGGGTCAGCCTCACAGAGCATTGTGTTCATCACTGTGCCACTGTCCAGTCTCTAGTGTTTGCATTTTATTAAAAATAATAATTAATGTTTGCAAGTTACTTCCATACTCAAAAACTTTCCACAGGTTCCTGTTAGCTGCAGAAAGACATCCAAAATCCTTAAGCTGAATATCAGAGCTCTCTACAACCTGTCAATAGCCCATTATTTCCCACTTATCCCTTGTCTTTTCCCTTCTCCCAGTCACGCTGCCCAGGAATACCTCTAATACCTACTCCTCTGCCCTCACTCAGGCTCCATTCCCTGCCTCCCAGACCCTTCTCCCACACCTCTAAGCACCAGTATTGTGCTCGCTCTTCAAGCCCAGATCAAAGGTTGCTTCCTCTGGCTTTGCAGCCCTTCCCCAAGCAGAATCCATTCTTCTAAGCGTTTGTGGTAGCATGACTGGCCACACCAGGTCTCTCCTTGAGGCAAGAAAGCCAATCTCGCACGTCTCTGTCTGAGCCAACCACTGTACCTGACACACAGTAGGTAGGTTGTGAACACGTGTGGTCCACAAAAAGTTCATGGACATGTGTATTGTGAGAAATCTGAGCATGGATTCCAATTCTTTTGGGGGGTGGGCACCACAACAAATTCATACTTTAATTCTTCTTTTCCAGGAACTTTTTGAAGTCCCCTCATCTAAGTCACACCGAAAAGTATCTTTCTCTTCGATCTCTCAGCTTATGGGCACATCTTGCTTCCAGACTTTTGGGCAACGTGGTTCACAGACCACGGTATAGCAGGAACATCTCAGACCTGATTTCTTCAAAGCATTTCTGCACATGGACTTTAACAATGTTTTCCAAGTCATCTCAGTCCTATAGGCACTTTGCTTCTTTGTCAAAGAAGGTCACTTTGAACAGTATCTGCAGACATGTTAGTGGCTATGGAATTAAAAGATACAAGTCAAGTGTCCTTGGGCTCAGGACACCCAGGATGCTCAGTCTCTGCTCTGAAATTCATTTCAGAGAATGCGTTTGTGTGTTCCTATTCTCTACAGTCCACAAGAAGCCAGTCCCCCGCTCCTTTTTCTTCTCAACTCCTGCAATCATAGGAGATGGGAACTCAGTCATCAGTCCACAGCTGGCCCCAGAGCTATGGGGATGACCTCTGGCCAGCATCACCCTCCACACCTGAAGCTGAACTCCACCTTGAGCTTCAATCTACCAGACGGCTCCTGCCACGCTGAGGTCGCTCCTGCTTCACACAGCATCCAAGAGTCATAGTTTCTTAGGGAGAATATTTCTCAAAAGATAAATAAATAAATGAAATGAAATGAAAGCTCACAGAAGCCCCAGGGACCCCTGGGAGTCCAGTCAAGCCTCAAAATCATTACCAATTGCTTTCTTTTGCCTGAAAACAAAATTCGCTCTGGCATATTAAACCCCACGTCCAGCACGACTCTTCTGAAAGGTCTGGCATCTTCCCAGAGGGTCCTCCTCTCATTAACAAAAAAAAGTCACAGTAGCTTAAGTTAACTTTAGCTTACCCACTCACTGACCCCACTGACTCGTCTTTCTGAGGAGACTGGCCTGCCCTAGAAATGAGCTCGGCCATGCTGGAAGGATCCACAGGTCGAGAGTGCATCCGAGCAGTGGGCTGTGTGCGCCGGGCGGGCCTGCTGTGTGGGACACACTCTTCGTCAGGGTCATCCATCTGGACAGCCCCAAGGCGGTCACCCTGACATAGGGGAGTGTTCAGTGACCAGGCCTGAAGGACTTGAACTGCAAGTCTGAAGGGACAGAGAGATTTCAGGCCCAATAGATGACTTCCTGGGAAGCCTTTTCTACCTCCAGTCCCTCAGTAAGGTCCTGAGAGAATGAGTCCTGTGGGTGTGGAGAGGAGATCTGCCTCAGTTGCCTTTTCTTGAAGGGTCAATGAGAAACGCACCCCGACGCATTGACAAGCACACCTCACACTCACACTACGGCCGGCCCAGCCCTCTGGGAACCAGACCCAAGTCTAGTTCTGAATCTTTCTCAAAAAAGTAATCTTGGGAACAGTAGACGGTGTGATGGCTACGTTGCTGGACTCGCATGTAGTCGGTCACGGTTCGAGTCCTAGACCCAGTGGCTTAAACTCATGCCAGGTGCGTGTGCATGCGTGCCCAAGATCTGGAGAGGACAATGGAGGAGAATAGGTTGCGGCGTGGCCATCCCCCCAGGGGGTGATTTCTCACTTTCTGTTTCTCTGTCTCTCTCTTTCTGGAGAGTGCAAGCACCCTATAGCAAAAAAACTCTCCAAATAAAAAACCTCTCCAAAAAAAGAAAAAATAAAGTAATGTTAACTTTAAGAACTCGATGACCAAAAATATTAGTCGTTCATTATTTATAATAACAAAACTGGAGAAGGGTCTAAATGTCTAACTAAGGAGGACCGAGATTTTTTTTTTTTTTTTGAGAGGTTTTGTGCTATAGGGCGTGTGCGCTCGCCAGAAAGACAGAGAGAGACATAGAGACAGGAAGAGAGAAATCACCCCCCAGGGGGGATGGCCACACTACAATCCCTTCTCCTCCATTCTCCTCTCGGGATCTTGGGCATCACACACGCCCGGCCTGAGTTTTAAGTCACCGGGTCCAGGACGCGAACTGAGGTCGACTACATGGGAGTCCAGCAATATAGCCATTACACCAACTGCTGGTCCCGAGATATTTCAAATGTTTACAAAGTTTTCTTAGTACCATAGAAGACTATTAAGGCTATTATATATGATACATGTAAAGTAAAAAAACAAACAAACAAAAAAACAAAAACAAAACTGGATACCATTTATAGTATAAAAGTCCGGAAGGGAATATACCAAAATACTAACTGTGATTGTCTGCATCACACAATTATAGGCAACCCTTTTTGTTTCTTTTTTTATTTTTACAAAATTTTCACTTTTTTTGAAAAGAGATTTTTGCCGTAGGGTATGTGTGCTCACTGGAGAGGGAGAGACAGAGACAGTGAGAGGGAAAGTGAGAAATTACCCCCTTGGGGAGATAGCCATACCACAATCCCTTCTCCTCCTTTCTCCTCCTGGAATCTTGGGTCCACACACACCCAGCGTGAGTTTCAAGCCACCAGGTCCAGATTCAAACTGCAGTCAGCCATGAGGGAGTCCAGAGATGAAACTGCTATGTCATCTGCTGGCAGCTCCACATTTTTTTTTTTTTTAACCAGAGGGTGCGAGGGTGCATGCACTCACCAGAGAGAGAGAGTGAGAGAGAAAGCACCCTCCAATGGGATATGGTCATACCACAATCTTGTCTACTCCACTTCTCCATCCTGTCAGGATTTGGAGCACACACACACATGCACTGAGCATGTTTTCCAAGCCTCTGAGGACTTGGACAGCAGCCAACCGTATAGAATCCAGCTTTCTAGGCACAGGATTTAACCACTGTGTTACAGGGCTGATCCGAAATTCCGATCTTGGGGCCAGCAGGTGGTGGAGATTGGGATGCTGAATCCCACATGGCTGGCTATGCCTTTCAAGTCCCAGAGCTGGTGGCTTGAAAATCACGCTGGGCTCTTGTGCGTGTGTGCCCAAAATCCTGAGAGGAGACTGGAGGAGAAGGGATTACGGCATGGCCATCCCCCTGAGGGGTGACTTATCACTTTCTCTCTCTCTCTCCACTCTCATGAGCACATGTGCCCTAAAGCAAAAGCTAAAATAATAAAAACAATACTTTTGAAAAATAAATGAAACACCTTACAACTGAAAGCTCACTTTCTCCAAGCAGCTTTTCTATATACGGATGTCTTCTTTTTCTCTTTCCATTTATATACTCTACCTGTTTCACAAAATGAGTCAAATGGTTTATGAGAAAAATAGAAGCAGGGTAGGGCAAATAAAATAAAGATCAAAAGAAGAAAGAAAGCAATCAAGCGTGAGAGAGAGACCGAGAAGGCTCACAGCCGTCTCGCCATGAGAGCCTGAGACCTCTGAATAAGGCTTTGGGTTCAGGTTATTATACCTGATATATGTTAAGTACGAAAACTGGGCGACTATTATGGTAGGAATAATAAATAATAATAAATTTACACATGTAAGAAAATTCTGGAAGAGAATATACCCAACTATGCCTGCAGTGACTGCCCTGAATACAGTTCAGGACCCACAGAGGTCATTTTATACTGTTTCAACCCAGGTCCCTCTGGCAGGGCATTGCACCTGGTGG